CAACTTGCGGAAATCCGAAATGATCAACTAGAGGTCATTTCGACATTTTTTTTTATGCAAAATGATCATGCCGACGACCCCTTCAAAATATCAACATAAGAAACATAATAAACTCGGTATTTTTGGAGAGATCAATCAAAGAAGAAAAGCAAAGTATTAGACACCCCATTTTTAGAATTGGTTAATCTTTTATGAATTTTTGAACCCTAGGGATGACAACAGCCTAGTAAACCCTACTAACCTTTTTAGACATAAAACCCAAACCTTAGACTTATCCAAGCCCTATCCTAAATAGTCTCAAACTCAATAAACATAGGAAACCAATCCAAACATCGATGCGGCACCCTAAGATCTAGAATCAACGTCTAAAATTTATATCTACTTAGACTCCTTTAAATCAAAAAAATTGGGTTAAATATGACTCTAAATTGAAGAAGTCATTGAATATGGTTATAGATTTCAAATAAAAATAAAGATATGTTTTTTCATTGAATATGGTCACAGATTTCAATAGCTATTGTGGAAAATAACCACGTAAATTCAGAATTTTTTGGTATTAAATTTTATTTTATTTCTGATTTGGATTGGTTGGAGCAGTATTACGAATATTGACTCAACAAAGGTACTCGGGACCTGGCCGAGGTGATTTACTCGGACAATTTTGAGTCACTTGCCCGAGTCCAAATCAATTTAAAAAAAAAAAAATTAAAAAAATAAATAGTTATATATATTATTAGTACTTCCTTTGTCAGCAACGTGAGAGTGCTGTGTAAAAGGATCTTTTCATAAGACGTTTCAGGATATTTTGTCTTTTGGTTTGAGCAAAGTTGAATGCTGAAATGATGTTAAAAAAAAAAAATACAATTCTCGTGGAAAAAAAGTGTGCCCAACAGGGTTTTTGTTTTGTTTTTTATTTTTTAAAATTAAAAAAAAAAAGCAAAAAAAGAAAGAAAAAGAAGAAGAAGAGAGGTGTCGGGATTAATTCTTGCGGGAAAAAAAAGTGTGCCCGAACCCATGACTGACGTAAACTTTAGTTCTTAGAGCTAACCAGTAAGTCATCCTAACTAATATAAATTTCAGTAATATCTTAGTTGAACATGGTGTACAACACTGTATTTTTTATTTGTGATTTTTGGAAGTAATTTTTTATTTGTGATTTTAGTAAGTGATTACGGACAAAAACTGATAATGCTCGATGGATGGGTTTCGCGCGCTCTCTCTCTCCTATTGGTATCCATGCAAGTGCAACTCAATCCTCAATGTCTTAGTGAGAGAGAATGTAGAGTTGGTCAGGGATTTTACAGGCAAAAGATGGTGAAATCTAAAATTTGTGCTGTTTGGTATATTAATGAAGGGCTTTTGTGCAACAATTAGAGTTTTTGAGGGGTTCAAGCTCCTGCAATTGATGAAAAACCAAGGAGTTTAGCCCAACGCTGTGTATAATGCTCTAATTCATTCTATTTAAAAATGGGAAGGTGGGTAGAGCCAAGATGTTAAAAAACGTAAGTTCTCTCTTTCTCTAATTCAATCACCGCCCCTCTTTCTCTCTATGGAATCTTCCCCACAAAAAGGTGGTGTAAAAGAAAAACAATGAAAGGCGGTGTGTAAAACTGTCACAGAAAAGCTCTTTATAAGACCGTGGACCATGTTGTTATTTTAAGCAATATGATAGGGTGGTACTACAATCTATAAAAATGAATATAAAGCCCGTAAAGCACAAGCGCGTATCATAAAAGGAGAGAAAAAATGAGTAAAATGTGAATGTGGTCTTTCAGATCATACTATATCAGTGTAACTTGTAATATCTTTTACTTCAACTACAACAGTGAAATTTTTTTGTGTGTGAATAGTGCTTCCTTTTCACTCCTATTGTCTTTCTTTGCTATTTTCTGATCAAATTATTATATCCATGCTTACGTAACTTTCCAACATTTGGTATCAAAGCCAGATTTGTGATTCCTAAAAGACCCTTTTTCATGAAATGAGATAAAAAAATAATTCAGAAAATTTTGAGAAGCTTGCCTGTAAAGTTTGACCATATTGTAGCTTCCATAAAAGAGTCAAACGATGTATCTAAATTTTCATTACAATAATTAATTGGGTCTCTTGAAGCACATGAGCAAAGAATCAACAAATTTTCAAACTAGAATATAGAACAAGCTTTTCAGTAAAAAATGACAATGTCAGAAAAGAAAAATGTTGAAAAAAATAAAAAAAGGGGGACATTTCAAAATTATCAAAGAGGTCGTGGAAGACAAAAATTTTCCAGAGGCCAAGTAAGAGGAATAAATAATTTTAACTGCTACAGAAATCCAGACGGAAAAGGTAAATCTGAATTTTACTGTATTATTTGCAAAAAATCAGGGCATGAATCCAAGGATTGCCGATATAAATGTCAAAAATGTAGAAACCCCAATTATTCTCAAAGGGATTGTTGGTTTCAACAAAAAAATGAAATACAGAAAAATGAAGTACATTTTTTTGAGAAAAATAATAATATAGGCCATATGTTCTATTCATGCATGAATGCTCAACAAAATTCACATGATATTTGGTATCTAGATAGTGGTAGTAGCAATCATACGACATGAAATCGAAGCAATTTTGTTGAGATTGATAAAAAAAGTCACTTCTCAAGTCAAGCTCGGTGATGAGAAGCTCCAAAATGTTGAAGGAAAAGGAGTAATTACAGTAAAACAAAAAGGAGGTAATCCTAAATTAATTTCTGATGTACTTTATGTTCCTTGCTTGAGTCAAAATCTTTTAAGTGTTAGTCAATTGATGAAAAAAAGATATTCGGTCAATTTCAATAGAGATGAATGTGTGATTTTTTATAAGAAAAATAAACAGACTATAGCCAAGGTGAAAATGACCCAAAGTAAGGTTTTTCCTATGGTGATACCGTCATGTGAAATTTTTACAGTGAGTTCTGAAGATATTGATAAATCTTACTTGTGGCATATAAGATTTTGGCATTCAAATTTTCAAATTTTGAAATTGATTAATCAAAAAGGTATGGTAATTGGACTACCATCAATAAATGAAGAAAGAAAAATATGTGAAGGGTGTATCTATGGATAATTACATAGAATATCATTTTCAGAGTCATCTTGTAAAGTAAAAGCTCCATTGGAACTGGTCCATGCAGACATATGTGAATCGGCTCAAACAAAAATTTTTAATAAGAGAAGATATTTTCTTTTAATTGTTGATGATTACAACAGAATGATGTGGGTATATTTCTTGGCTAAAAAATCAGAAGCACTTTTAATTTTTACATAGTTTAAAGCTGATGCAGAAAAGCAAATTCCATTGAAAGCCTTGAGAACAGATCGAGGAGAAAAATTTACATTAAAAGAATTTTGGAATTTTTGTAAAAGAAATGGAATCAGAACAGAATTGACTGTAACATATACTCCACTACAAAATGGAGTAGTAGAGAGAAGAAATAGAACAATAGTCGAAATGGCTCGGAGTATGTTGAAAAGTGTTGAAAAGTAAGAATCTTCTTAATAAATTTTGGGCTAAAGTTGTTTATACTGCTATTTATATTCTGAACAGGTCTCCAACAAAATCTCTCCAAATAAAACACCTTTTGAGGCATGGTATAAGGGAAAACCACCGTTCAGAGTTTTTGGATGTAATGCTTATGGCAAAGTACCTCTCAAGACAAAGAAAAATTCAATGAAAAAGGTGAAAAATATATCTTTGTTGGATACAGTGAAGTTTCAAAAAGGTTATCATCTTTACAATCCAAAAACAAATAAATTGGTAATTTTCATAGATGTTATCTTTGATGAGAAAAGTGAATCGAACTAGAATATAACTATAGCCAAGAAACAAGAATTTTAGAAAATGATGATTCAAATAAAAGTACAGATCCATGCCCTTCAAGTCCAAGTCAAGAAAGTCCAAGACAAGGAAGTCCAAGTTCAAGTTCTTCATATTCAAAAACGCCTCCCAGAAAAGTAAGGTCTTTCAGATATTTATGAATCATGTGATGTTGCTTTCCTTTCTAGTGAACCACAAAATTTTGAAGAAGCAGCTAAAGAAAAATTTTGGTTAAATGCCATGAATGAAGAATTTTTTGTTGTAAAGAAAAATAATACATGGGAATTAGTAGATTAGCCAAAAGGTAAAAAAATAATTGGTTTGAAATGGATTTACAAAACCAAATATAATGAAGATGGGTCCATTCAAAAGCATAAAGCTCGATTGGTGGCAAAAGGCTATTCACAACAACTTGGAATAAATTTTAATGAAACTTTTACCCATGTTGCCAGAATGGAAACCATTCGAATTGCTTTGCCATGGCAACCCAATTAAAAATTCCAGTTTTTCAGTTAGATGTAAAATCTGCTTTCTTGAATGGAGAACTTGAAGAAGAAGTTTATGTTGAACGACCATTGGATTTTATTGAAAAAGGAAATGAAGAAAAAAATTATAAACTGAAAAAGGTGTTGCATGGATTAAAACAAGCTCCAAGAGCCTGGAATGGCAAAATTGATAAATATTTTCAGAAAAATGGATTTGAAAAGACCCCAAGTGAACCTTCACTTTATATGAAAAATGGAAGTGGAAATTCCTTCCTAGTGGATGATTTGATTTATACTGGTACAAACAAAAAAATGATGGAAGAATTTACGCCTATGAGATGTCGGATTTGGGAATTATGAAATATTTTCTTGGAATCCAAGTAAAACAGTCAGATGAAGAAATTTTGATATCTTAAGAAAAATATGTTGAAAATCTCTTGAAGAAATTCATAATGTCAAATTGCAAGCCAATGAGTACTCCAATGGCAGTGAATGAAAAATTATCAAAATATGATGGTGCAGAAAAAGTTGATGCATCGATTCATCAAAGCTTGGTTGGATCTTTAATTTATATTGTGCATGTAGTCAGTATATGTTCCAGGTTCATGAATGGACTAAGTAAATTGCATTTTGCAGCAGCAAAAAAGATTTTAAGATATATCCAGAGGACAAAGAAACACGATATCAAACATATTTCTTAAAATAATATTAATATTGTTGGATTTTCTGATAATGATTGGACAAGTCCTGTTGATGATCGAAAAAGCATTTCCGGCTATATATTTTGCCTAGGTACAAAGGAGATATCGTGGTCATCAAGAAATTGTTGCTCTATCGTCAGCAGAAGCCGAATACATCTCAGCAACAAGTGCAGCATGTGAAGCTATTTGGCTCAGAAGCATTTTATCAGACTTGCAGCAAAAGCAGAATACCCCGACAACTATTGTTTATGACAACATGTTAGTCATTGCAATGACAAAAAATCAAGTATTTCACAGCCAATCGAAACACATAGAAATACAGCATCATTTTATCAATGAGGTCACCGAAAAAGGAGAAATCGAGCCCAATATTCATCAACACAAATGACCAGCTTGCAAACATCTTCACGAAGACAATTTCAACTGATAAATTCATCTAGTTCAGAGATTTAACGAGAGTGGCAAATTAAGCGGGATGTTCAAAAATGTAATTTTTCTCTCTCTCTCTCTCTCTCTCTCTCTAGAATCTTCCGCAAAAACACGGTGCAAAAGGAAAAAATGGAAGGCGGTGTGTAAAACCATCACAGGAAAGCTCTCTATAAGGCGGTGGACCATATTGCTATTTTAAGCAATATGATATGGCGGTACTACAATCTATAAAAGGAATGTAAAGCGTGTAAAGCACAAGAAAGTGTGAATGAAAAATGTGAGTGTGATCTTCCTGATCACACTATATCAGTGTAACCTGTCATATCTTTTATTTTAAATACAATAGTGAAATTTTTTTGTACGTGAATATTGCTTCCACTTCACCCTTATTATCTTTCTTTGCTATTTTTCTATCAAATTATTCTATCAACGCTTCCACAAATTTCCAACACAAGAGCTTCGTGAGTGAGATAAACATTTCTTCCCTGTAGTCGCAGAGACCATCCCCTCAAGAGCCTTGAACAAACTTTCATGGCAAAAACTAGAGAGAGAGAGAGAGAGAGCAAGAGACAAAACCCAGAGAGAGGGCAG